TCGTACACACTGAATCTTAAGAGACACACAGAAGCTGGGGCAGTACACTTTGGGACAATGCACAGTACACAAGGCTCTTGTACAATTCACACCTGTACACCCTCACAGGGTTGTAATTTCCAGTAGCAGACAGGTGGGTGCGATGGGCTGAACTCTGGGGCATCTCTACAGTGAGCCTGTCAGACTGGTGTTTAGCCAAGCTACGGGCTATGGGGCTTGCGAGTTAGCTAGGGATGTTATGACAGCCCTGCAACCTTACACGGGTCGCTGGGGCAGCTCAGAGCTCCACTGTATGTGTGTTTGTGTAGTGAGTGCGTGTTATGAGTTTGTCATGTCTCAGTGTGTGTCATACATATCTTCATCTGTACATACATACCTTAAATTCTGGTGGGCCAGAGATAGAAGATTATTAACACAGACAAACATTACATTTATATTTGGTGTATGTGAATTGTTTGGGCAAAACATGTCTGTAGTGTGTAGTGCCTGTGTTTTCATAGGCTTTGTCTAATGATCCTATGCTTTGGCATCAGTGGAGATGGTTCAAGTGAATTCAGAGTTCAGCTGACATAAAATCCAAAAAGTGCTAAAACGATTAGTTGATTAGCCGATCGTCAGAAAACTAATCAAGGACATTTCAGCATCAGGACACGTGCAGAGCAGAATGGAACTTCATGACAGGTAAAATGACAAAAAACAGTTTTTAAAGGCTTTACGGCCACCTGTGAGCCTAGCTGTGCAGCAAATCTCAGTGAAAGCTAATTATTTTAGATCTCTATTTAAGGTTACTAAATCTGTTGCCGAGCCAAAGAAGTCAACAATTTCTCCATAGGCTGAACTGGACTGTTGCCAGGCAACACTAAGTTTTTGAAAGTTGTATTGTGATGTTTTCTTTGGAACTATGGCTTCTGGTCTTTTCAAGATAAAAGACTCACCACCAAAATTGCCTTCATCTCATATCTGCTTCTGTCAAGAAACCAGCAATCAGCATAAAGAAAGAGAGAGAGAAAGAG